GTGCCTGTGGGACCTCTCCAGACCAAAATGCAGGCATGCTGTATGAGTGAGACCCTCTACCATGCCCTCAGGACCCCTCCACCCCTCTGGAGCCCGCATTCCAAAACCCGCTGAGTGAGTGACAACTTCTGTGATGCTCTCGGACCCCTAGATCCAGCCTAGCCCAGGCCTGGTGAGTATGTGGGAGAACTTCTGTGCTCCCCTGTGCCCCCTGGGCCAGGGACAAAACAGAGGGGCACCACAGGTTCACTGTTGTGCCAGAGGGGCACAAAAGGTTCACTTCCAAGGGCTGAAGCAAGAAGGAGCTGAACACAACAGCTAGACCCAAGCCAGGCATAACTGGATAAACTCAAACTTAATAGATCTGCACCTGAGTTTCAGTAGGTGCTAAGATTATAACTACACCAAAGCTCTACACCAAAGGTCAGAGGTCAGTGTTTACAAAATGACAAAGACAAGGAGCAAAATGCAATCTCAGGCCACGAGCCCACCCAGAACAAGTGCAGAGGACACTAGCTTAGCTGAAATGTATGGATTAATAGCATCAGAAGTGAAGAAACAACAGCAGAAAGGTATAGACGAACTCAGAGCAGAATCAATTTCTGAAATAAAAAAGAAATCTCTAAATTCATAGCATCTGAAGTAAAGAATCAAATACAAAAACATATGGAGGAAAAGCAGTGCCCACCAAGAACAAGTGCAGAGGACACTAGCTCAGCTGAAAGGTATGAATTAATAGCATCAGAAGGAAAAAAACAACAGCAGAAAGATACAGAGGAACTCAGAGCAGAATTAATTTCTGAAATAAAAAAGAAGTCCATGAATTCATAACATCAGAAATAAAGAATCAAATACAGAAACATATGGATAAAACCCAATCTGAAAAAAACTGCAGTAAAAGAATTCAAAACTGCTTCTAAAGAAGACATTGATAAAAAAAAAAAAGGAGATTAGAAAAATAATGAAATCCTTGAAAGAGAAATACAGGAAGGAAATAGATCACATGAAGGAGAGTCAAAGAGATATAGAGGAATTTAAAAATCTCAATCACAAGACTGCAAAACCATTTGAGGGAAATTGAAGACAGAGTTTCAGATCTTGAAGACACTGGTGCAGCTAGTGAAAAG